TTTTGCTGATTGCACTGATTACAGACAAATTTCACCCGTACTCAAGTTTTGTGTGGGTACTTCCCTTAATAACGATTATGGACGCTACTTTTCAGTGTGTGGACATTTCGTGACTAGTATTCATTCTCATATGTGGGTTGATGCGTTGAATTTGTTTTGCATGTTTCGAAATTAAATAATCAAGATAATATGATATTTAGGAGATTCAATTGAGTCGCTTGGTCTAGTTTTAGTTTTAGTTGGCTGGTTTTTAAAATGTTTTGCTTTCGTGGTACATATCAGAAAACTTTAGGGCAGTTCCATCCATTTCAGAAAATTTATAGAATTTCTGAGATATTAGGAAATTTTATAAATTACGGGAATGTTCCGAGCTCTTTAGATTGATTTCGAATACTGCAGTGATGACCGCTTCCCTGGGAGTACTCAGAACAAGTCCAAATGTGCCCATTGTGGTCCTGTGCTCTCCGAAAAATTGAACTGGTTTTTGAATTCTCATGTGATTTGATGTGTCACATGATGGGTTTGGTTTCAGATCGGATTTAGTCTCAGGGGCCTCTTTTAGCTCAGTCGGTAAAGGTGCAGCTACAAAGCAAGAACATGCTGAAGGTGGCTGCGTTCGATTCCCGGTTCAGTCTAGGAATTTTTCGGTTTAGAAATTTTTTCGACTTCCTTGGGCATTGAATATGATTTTACTTGCCACACAATTATACTAATGCAAAAATGGTAAAGGCATCGAAAGCTCTCAATCAACTGTGGAAGTGCATCTAGAACACTAAGTTGAGAGCACGCAATACATTGTCTACGACTTAGCGAGTAAGTTTGTTTTCCACGACAAGCTCGAGAGATATTGTTACTGAGGTTCTATTCTTACACAGATAAAAATTCTGAATTTTTATTGTGATGTAAACATTCATTCACGTAAACTTGTATTTCATTTCACGCAACCGAGCAACTTGTAAACAATGTTGTTTACAAAGATGGGCTTTTGTATGCAATATTTGCTACATGATTTATAAATGTAAACTTATATGATATGTGACGTTCCATCGATGTGCATCATATTGAACAGAAATTTACACTACTTTTTCGAACTGTGTAGGTACAATCACAGACAAACAGACATAACACATTGAATATTTCTCACTGTAAAACATCGTCGCTGAAACATTAGCGCCATCTGTTTAGTACACTGTGGTGGGTAATACGCTGAACAGATGGTGGTAGTGTGTAAACATCAAACGCAAGGAAAATGACTATGTGTGCCACAGGTGGCGGTACTACCAACTACGATACTTTTAAATTTATCCGTTAAATGCTTGTTCGATGAACAACTTGCGAGTGTTATGTCTGTTTGCAGGGCTGGTAGCAGATCACTTTTTAGTGACTTGGTCACTATTTTCATGCTTCATGTGAAGAAGCCTGGGATTTCCAACTCGTCAAACAACGACGAATACGCACTTTCTTCCTTCGTCATTTTTGAATTACGAATTCGACGAGAAAATTTTCATACCATGAAATCACGAAAAACTTAAGTGAATTTCACTTAACCTTCACCAGCATGACATGTGGACTGAACCAGTGTATCCAGTAGAATTCATTACCATGTCATTAAAGTCCTATTTTGAAGAGGTTAGCTGAATTTCCAGGTAAAAATTACTTCTCTCGTTGGTTCAATGTATAATGTCAAAAAATGATCTAGGAAAATTTTCAAGCTCTCAACATTTGTTCAAAGGCCAGCAGTTTGAATAATCTTTGACCCTCGGTAGCTTTAGTATCCGTCCAAACATCGAGAAAAAAATCATGTCACAGATCTTTGAGTTCCTTTTTAAATACAATAAGTTGTATTGTATTTTTTCCATACTAATATTACGGTAATACAAAAACAAAAAAAAAATCCAAGTCCAGGTTTAAAAAAAAAAAAAACTTTAAAATGTATTCCTTAATCTCTAATTTTTCACGATCGAGATTTTAAGTCCTAGACGCATTCAATTGTATTTTATGTCCGTGATCATTCCATATGGGAAAATTCTCCTCATGCCATAATAATGAGATTTTTTCTTAAACTGCGATCTAGAAAAGTTGTCCCAGAGTTATGATTCTTTTCTATGTTTGAGATGTTACAGAAGATTCTATCCTTGGGAGGAATGGAGCAAAGAAAAAAGACGACCAGTTCGTTATAGCGACTACAAAGAAGAGAAGGGTCTTTTATTAATATAATCATGGCTCCCAAGTAACAATTCAAGCTGAATTGTAAGAACAAAAGTTGATTATTGGTTGAATTAAGGTGTACGAAGCTGATTTACACCAGGCTGAATAGACAGCTGATTAGTAGTGCATGAAGCGAATTGTATCCCCATAATTCAACCTCAATAAATTAGCTGATATAAAGACTGAACAAGACTTATTTAAGCTTAATACTACTCCACAAACCAGCAATGCGCTACAAATATTCTGATAGCCTGATAGAATAATATGAATTTATTGCACAATATTGTTAAATGTCGTCAGGGTCACTTGTTGCCTTCTCGACATTTTAGTTATTCTAAATTCACTGCCTACCTACCTGCCTATCCCAAGCAGCACAAAGAGTAGAGACAAGGAAGAGGAGCTTTTTAAGAATAGCTCCACCTAGAAGTGGACTGACGACGTCGGAAGTATTAACATTAGTATTCCTGTCTTTTGTCTGTTCACCACTTTATATTGCACTTAACTTTCAGACCGCATTTCAAAATATATAACTCAATTATAGCACTAAAATAGCACCGAAATACATCGCGCACTTGTGTCCACATTGTGTTTACTGCACTTGAAATGAGAGCAATGTTTTACTGTCACAATTTATTGTTTACAATTCTGCATTGCTGAATAATACTCTTCCGGTTGCTATTATTCAACTTAATTTTGACGTGCTTCATGTTAATGATCGTACCTTCTGCCTCAAATATGCTTATGTAGTCGAGTGGGTAAAGTTGACGCCTGTGAATCAGCGACTGCCGGTTCGAATCCCGAAATGTAAAGGTAATTTTAAGACATATAATAACAACATAAATATTTAAATCCAATTAGTCAGCAACATTCTAAAGCAGTCTTATAAAAAAATTGATATATGATATGAAGCGGTCTTCCATTATATTTTTTTTTTGAAAAAAATGAAGGCTGAACAAGTGTTGGAAAAGACTGTTTGTTAATGCCTCGAAAAGCTTATAATTTAGATTGCTGTTAAGCTTTGGGCTGATTAAAATCACCAGATTTAGATGTTTAAAAGCTGAACAAAGGTTAAAATGGTCTATGTACAACAATTATTTAAACTAAGCCTGAATTAAAATCGTTGAAAGAACACTTGTTAAGCATCAATTTGTTACCTGGGTAACTTAGATCTAAGTACATTTAATTCTAGACTGCAGTTCTTCATGTTGCTAAATGCATCGCTTCATATACAGTGTATCGCAAAATTGAGCGTACACCCTGGACAATTTTTTGAAACATGGTGAATAGATATTTTTTTTTAAATCTCGGCTGGTGGTTGAACAGATGTTTATTGATTTATCGCTATAGTTTTGGACTTTATTGGAAGAGCTTCTATGAAATTAGATTTATTTTAGTAAAACGCTCGATTTTCAACTATTTACCTGGTGGACGAATTTTAGTAAAATTAGTGACATATGAATGATATTTATTAGGGCTAAAAAAGAGTAAAATGTCTAAAAGTTAGGTTCATTTAATTTCAAGAAAATAAGGATTTTCAACATAAAAGCATTTTTCTAAAATAGCTCTAACTTTTTATAAACTCAACCGATAATTACCAATACTTTACTAATAATTGATAAATTTATGATGACTTAGCAGCCAAAAACTTAGAGACGTATCTTTAAACCTTGTGCTTTTAGAGCCGTTTTTCTGAAAATGAAGGAAAGCTGCACGCTCAAATTTGAGATACACTGTATATCCTATATCTTCAAAAATTGCTGGCTAAAATCGATACTTTGGACATTTTTCTCTGTGCCTCTATTTTGCGATCTAAATTCGTAATCTGCAGAGTGAGGAAATGGAGGTTAGAATTGGAACGTGCTCTTGCTTATTCGATTCATACTTATGTCTCCTTAAATCATATGTTTTATTTTTAAAAAGCATGAACAATACCGGAATAATGGATGATTAGAACCATATCTTTCCGATCAATAAATGTCACTATTGGTCTCTTTATTTTTGTTTAAAAGTCACTATTTGGTCACTATTTTCGTAATTTTAGTCACTAAAGTCACTACTATTACATCACATACCCACTACCAGCCCTGTGTTTGTCTGTGGTACAATGCTTTCAAGAGAGAATAAATATTTAAAGAGTTACGTCTGTTTGTCTGTGTACATACACACACGTAGACATTTTCCGATTTTCCGACATTTTCGTTGAGCTGAGTCGACTGGTATATGATACATGGCCCTCTGGGTCTCAGATCGAAAGTCGGTTTTCCAAGCGGTATGTATAACCTTCTTTGTAAGAAGGGTAAAACCGGTAAAACATAAAACGTTAGTAATTATGAAGAGCTTTGAGTGGGTTGGTTTATTTCCTTTAAATTCCGTTATAATTGCTTATCTTTTGACAGATACTTGGCACTGATGAAGTCTGCAAGTAGTAGACGAAATACGCCTATCTGTCAAAAGATAAGCAATTATAACGGAATTTAAAGGAAATAAACCAACCCATTCAAAGCTCTTCAGAAAGGGATTCCGTTAAGAGGTTCGACAAATTTAAAGGGTTAGTAATTACATTATTGTATGCATAAAATCTACTATCAATTATAATCAGTTATTATAAATGATTATTTTGAATTAAATGTGAAATCTAAATTAAATAATAAGCAAGAAGAAACGAGAGCTGACGAAATACGCGTATGGGTCGTAGCTAAAAATGTTACTAAGTGTAATGGTAAAGATTCTTATTAGCATCAATAACAATAAAGCTTGAACTAATGCCCTGTTCTTCCCTTCTCTTCCGGCAGGTATTCCGCATGCTAGCCCCTCAACTAGACCCATTATCCAGGCGTAGTAGTCGCCCTAATCTCGCAGAATGGATATTGTTAGAGTCTCCAATAATACTAATACCAACGATAGCGCCGGTATCAGCCAGCAACCGCAGCAGCAACAGCAGCAGGCCGCTTCTGTGCAACATTCTAAAACCAAGGACAATAACAGCAATACCAGAAATGGCTTGAACCAACAACAATCAACGAACTCCTCTACATCGACACCGAAGCAATCGCCCAGCGGAAGCCAGTGGGCTCCGGCCGGGTCCGTTGTGTCCTCGTCCGGTGGTTCGTTTGGCGGGTCCGACGGGCTGCACCAAGCGTCCAGTGATTCGGGAAACAGTTCCTGCGTCAGTGGAAGCACTGCTGCGGATGATCCAGAGACAAAGAATGCAAGTTTCGAAAGTGGCACCGACGGTGGTGAAGCCGTGGCTGCGGCAGTGATCGCTGGTAGTGGCGAAGAAGATGAAGAAGAGATCGATAGGGAAGATGGCGGTGGTGATGGTGAAAAGGAATCGCTTTTGAAGGGGGGGAACATTTATGTGAATAAAATTTTTGAACGTGAAGATGAGGGCATTGAGTGCGATAGGCTGAAGAAATTGGTGGCACTGGATGCTCGGGGTAGTTCGACGGAAACGGATGAAAATGCAGAGGATGTGAAACCGCTCTTGAAAGTGGGTGTGGAAAACGAGAAGCGTAAACCGAAAAGTATTGTGAAAAGTCCTTCAAATTTGAGCTTTGGCAAGGAATTGAATGGTGGTGTTCAGAAGCAACGGCTTAATCTACAGTTCCAGCTGCCGGTCGAAACCGTGATCGACGATCGACCGGTACATCACGTGCAGTTTAGAAAACAGGAAAATGGTTACTGTTGTCGTGGCTCCGGCGCCGAGCAGGATCTTGGCAGTGGCGGAAACAACAACAACAACAATGACAACAATAGTAGCACTAAGCAGCAGATTTGCTCCAGTCCGGTGGGCAGCATATTGTCCCAAGAATCTGGTTCTGGTTCCAGCACGTCCTCCTCGTCGAATGAGAACAGTTCGCTTGGCGGATACGCCGAAGCGAGACCACCGGACGGGGGCTGGGGCTGGGTAGTGTGCTTCGCTTCGTTTATGGTGAATTTGATTGCTGATGGAGTGACGTTTAGCTTTGGCGTGCTCTACGTGGAACTGCTGAACTATTTCGGCGAAGGCAAAGGTGAGTACGTGCTATGAGGCACTGTCATGATTTAGTAGTACGATACACTGTTCTTGGGTGGGGTGGAGTTGGAGGAGTGTCGATGTCATTAGAGCTCTATGGTTGTACTACTAAAAGGGGGGTATTTTCTACGTTTCGTACGTTATGTGGTTGTGATAATATTTTTTTTGACGTTGAATACGTCTTACGGGAAGGTACTGGGGGTAAATCGAAAATCTAAAATTGCGACCGTCACGAAAAGGTGTAATTTTTTGAACGCTATAAGCTTTGTTATTTATAGACGAAATTAAAATCCGAATACACCAATCGATAGGAAATACCTTTCGTAAGCTGTTGCAATAATCTTTTTTTTTCAATTTTTCATAAAAACTGTTTTAAAAATGGACACATAAAACGTGATAATTTATCACTGTTTTCATGAAATAAACATTCTCCCCAAACCCAGTCCTCATAATCAAGCACAATTTGGTTGCACATCTTGCTGCTTGAATCAGAAAAGTTATAAAAGAGCGCTGCTAATGTGCCTCAACTCATTTTCGCTTCGGACGGCGGGTAAGCAGGTGGCAGCAGCAGCAGTAGGCAGGCGGCTCCAGTCAAGCGCGCAGAGTTCGAGTTTTGCACCTCGAACTTTGCGCGTCGTTCTCGTCGAGATCATTGGCTGCTGGTAGCGGCGTCGCCTCGATGGCGCAAGCGCTCCTTGCCTGAATGATAACTACAAATCTCGATTACTTTTCAGAAGGACATATCAGCTTTTGTAAACAACGCATTTTATCGTCGGTTTGGCATAACTAATAGCTCGCCCCACATACTAAGACCGCTGACAGGTTGGGAAAATTTTCCCCTATCTGATGGTAGTACTAGCATGCGTGGGCGAGCTACCAGTTACGCCAAATCGACGATCAAATGCGAAAAAGTAATCGAGAAATACTTCTTTGGCTGTACAGGGTTACCCACTCGAAGTGTTACCTATTCTAATGACAATAATTTTTTTAAGTGAAATATTTTTTATTGATTCCAATGGCAAAAATGTTTGTAAATAATCAAAATTTCAGAATCCATTCACTTTAGCTCGATGTGGACACCTTTTGCCTTGACTATGGCCTTCAAACGGTCAAAAACGAGTTGCATGCTGCACGAATGTGAGCTTGTGGTATTTTGACCCATTCACGTACAATCGCTTTCTTTAGCACATCTGGCACTGGCATATTTTTTAGTCCGCACCTCTCTAAAATGGACCAAATGGAAAAGTTCATCGGATTTGCGTCTGGCGAATTCGAAAGCCATTGTGTCGACGAAATGAAGCGTGGAAAATGATTTTTTAACCATTCTTGGTTAATTTTCGCTTTATGTGACGGTGCCGAGTCTTGTTGGAACGTCCGTGCTTTGCGACCGAAATGTTTGCGTACCCACGGCTCTAAAGCAGCTTCTAAAATATTTTCACGATAATAAGTCGCATTTACATTGACACTAGGCTCGATGGAAACGATTGGAGAGCGGCCATCAGAGGTCACGGCTGCCCACGCCATCACTTGCGATGGGAAATTACTTCGGGTGACCATTCGTTGGCTTAAATTCTCGTACGTGCGTTCGGTCAAGTAAACACGGTCATTTTCAGAGTTTATGAACTGCTCAATAGGGAAATTTTTCTCATCAGAGAACACAATGTTCGGAAATTCGCCACGTTCGTGCAAGCGCACCAATTCCTTTGCTCTTTCGATCACGAATAACTTTTTTTCTAAAAAAACGGAGCATGTTTCCTTTTGTACGCTTGTAAACAATTGAATGAACTGTCATTGGTATAAATTTGAGTGCGCTGTCATTAATAGTGTGGTAGTTATAGCAGTTTGAATCTGGTAACACTTCGAGTGGGTAACCCTGTATACCGATTGCCGAGTTAAATTTAACTCGTTGTTAAACGTGACATTTCGAAAATGCCGGAAATTGATCAGTTTTCAAACAGAACTCAGCCATGGTTACCAAAATTTAACTTCTAGTCGGTCCGAAATAACCATGCTCGTATAGCAGGGTTATTCGATAACTCATCTGTCACTTTTAACCACGAGTTAAATTCAAACCCTGAAACCCCTCTCCTCCCTCAACTACTACGTTATTTATGAAAGTTCCCTAATCATTGGGCAACACTGAAAATCAGCAGCACACACCACACAAAATGGGTTGGACATTTATGCGAAATTTCGGTATTGGCAAATCAAAGTTGGCACTCGTGGAGAATAGAAGAACTATGAGAGTGATGATGGTTTCAAAATTTTACACGGTGAGGTATACGAGTGCAATCTTTAAATGCTTTTATTTTGCAAATGTAGCATTTTATTTAAATCTGGTTAATGCTACGATAGTAGAAAACTTAAGGACTACTTAATAGACATATAATATAGAAAAAATAATTTCTTTTCAGATTTGTATGTGTAGACATAGATTTCAGCTTTTCTGCAACTGTAGCAGCAACCATATTTAAATGAAATGCTCCGTTTGCAAAATAAAAGCATTTTAAGATTGCACTCGTATACCTCCCCGTGGAAAATTTTGGAACCATCATCACTCTCATAGTTCTCCTATTCTCCACGAGTGCCAACTTTGATTAGCCAATTGATACTCAATATTTCGCGATCAGAACATTCTAGCTTGAAATCCCTCCATTTAATTCTCGGTGCATCTTTAATCTATTGATTGAATTAAAACAAATTCTTATTATGGTTTTTTTTTTAAGATTTCGTGTGTTTTGTGAACGCACATTCATTATTTTGCATAAGAAAACGGGAACGGGGTGTTTCTGTGGTTATAAAAAGGATTTTCCTACACAGATCACAGTTTTCTGTACCAAGCACTGAAATTATCAGACGCTACCTCTATTTATGCTTTTAGATTAGCTATGAAAGTCCCTCCTACTTGGAAAATTATGCTATAGAACGGTTTATACAACCCCAGTTTTTTTTTTGCATAATTCTTCAAGTAGGAGGGACTTGCAATGCTTATTTCTTAGCATAAATAGAGGTACCGTCGAGTTTTTTCAGTGCTAGGTTCTGAAATTCATCAGTGAGCATTCAAAAGGGCCTGCTTGTAATGTTCGATTCTCTTCATCGATTTTCTGTTTACATTGGTACAGCTAAGCGAAACAATTCAAGCTGAACATTGCATTAGGTCCTAAGTAACACTGACAAGATTTTCTTCGTCGACTTTCTCCTTGAATCCACTCGGCCCAGGTATTTTCAGCACAAATATCTATAAAAGAAGTTTTTATCTAGCATCTAATACAACAAACACAACAAGAAACGATTCTGTGCTCAAGATATTAAGGCTGTGTTCCATTTGGTGAATTTTTACTTAAATTTGACAGATGGAACATTTTCAAATAAACCTGCTGTTCCAGCAGACTTATTTCTGACAGACAAGGAATCAATTTGACAGATGCTTTCTCGAAAATCGGCCGATCTACAACAGAGGGATTTTCGAACATCTTAACTTATTTTCAAAGTTTCAAATCTAAGTGAAAATTTTCCAAATGGAACACAGCCTAGTATTTTTTTTTATTTGTTCAATCGGTAGATAAAAGATGTATCGAGAACTTATTGGAGGGATTCATGGCTAATTGATATCATCTCGAACAACTATGAAATGGTGCATAACATTGATGCAACATTGTGCACTCCGTTTTTGTGTGTGCATTTATTTTTAGCGTTTTGAAGTTGAATCGCTGAGGATCAATCTTATTACCATAGAAAAATTTCAAGAGTACAGATATCAGCTCTCACAAAACTTTTAACAAAGAAACTGGAACTTCACGTTTTTTTCAGTCAAGTATACAAGGAGTTTCAATTTCATGAGTGATGTCACAACCGTCCAAGATTTGTGTCCTAGAAATCTTGAAGTGATAGGGAATATCAGCCATCATGACGGTCATTGTTGGATGCTTCAATGAATCACCTGAAGAAAGCCTTACTCACATCTGATTGTAATTTAGGAACCAAATTGTAATAGACTATGTATTCGAATTTTTATGAGGTCCTGAATTTAACCAATTTCACGTTCTAAGATCACGAATAGCTTATTTGGCTGTGGAGTAATCTCTTCTGAAAGTTGAAATTTAAAAAAATCTCGAAAATCCAGGGTTGTAGCCCAGAAGGATCTAGACACTTTAGAGCAAAATCAAAAAAGGCGTTTGTTCAAAATTCCAAAATAAGCGTTTTGGCCAAGTTTGGCTCAAGTCGGTGACATCGACCACAATTTTTTTAAATTTTGTACCCACTTGAGCTGGAATGACCCGTATGTATTCGCATTTTTATGAGATCCTGAATTTAACCAAGTTTTACTAAGTAGGAAATCCAAAATTTGTACATAGGAGCGAAATCATAGGTTACTTTTACTGTATTTTAAATCAATATCTAGAAAAAATGCACGAAAATTTCACTACACAGCTTAACGTAGTCTACGTCAACCCTGCGGTCGTGTCTTGTACACAACCCCACCAATTTTTTTTTCTAAATAAAACTAGAAGGCCGAACAAGGGTTGGAAAAGACTGTTATTTAATGCCTTAAAAAGCTTTTAATTTATATAACTGTTAAGCTTTTGGCTGATTAAAATCACCAGATTTAGATGTTTAAAAGCTGAACATAGGTTAACGTGGTCTATGTACAACAATTATTCAAACTAAGGCTGAATAAAAATCGACTGAACAACACTTGTTAAGCATACAATTGTTACCTGGGAAGTGTTTGCTGCAGATAATTTGCAGGCCTGAACAGCTTCTGGATGTTACGATTAGTGCCTCTGAAAATGTGAAGTGGAAGGATTCCTTCAATCTGGTCTTGGAAGTGATTCAACCACAGAGGTAACTCTAAGACCAGAAGGTCCCGAAGAAACGTGCTCAATTTTTTGGCTCAGCTCTGGTACTCTCTTCGGTCCCAAGCTAATCGATGCACCCCTCGAAACATAGGAAAATCCACGAACCCCTCATTTTATCTGTCAAACTTTCATAGCGTATCAAAAAAAAAAAAAACATTGTGTAGTATTAGAATGGGGTACGTTAATCGTTTGCTTGGGACTAATAGGCTAGTCAAGTAGTGAGCAAATTTAAAATCGTTAGTTTCGTATTGATTGTTGATAGAACTACGCGCCGAAAGTGTGGCATCCGAACTCGGAGAACCGGGCTCCCGGGAGGCAATTAAACCGACACCAAACAATTGAACTAAAGCTGCGACGTAGATTTTGGAGGTTAAATTCAAGGTCAACCGAAGCACTCAAGGCGGACCTTTTTTTCTTGCTTCTTTCTTTTGTCACTGCATGTTTCTATTTTTCACTTGCTATATTATTCTCTTTTTTAATTTAATTTGTCTTCAAAACTGGACGCCTCAACACAGGAAAAAACACGATATATCACTAAATGATAACTTTATGAACACTTGAGACTAAATTTCAGCACACAAATTAACAAATTCAAGTAAAAAAAAAGGTTTAATTCGCTGACGAAAAATACACAGCAAAAGAAAAATACGTCAGCTTTCAAGTGCGGCCTACTGCGATCTCTGACCGAAGAGAGTACACGGCGAATGAGAACGACTCAAATTTGAGTTTAGTTCACTCATAATCGCCAAAAGTGTAGGAACTCATCGATGAGTAAAATTTGTCTCATGGTTTCCTGTGGAAAACCTAAAAAATCTGCCGGAAAATGAGGAAACGACGAAAATTTTATTCAGTCTCCTAGTAGTACCAATAGACTGAGTGAATGCAATCTTTACTTTTCTCAAATTCAGGAATATTTCCCTGGAAAATCCTGGAAAAACCTGGGAAAACATGAGGCAAATTAACTCATCGCTGAGTTCCTGCACTTTTGGCGATTATGAGTGAACTAAACTCAAATTTGGGTTGTTCTCATTCGCCGTGTACCAGAGCTGAGTCAAAAAGTTGAGCACGTTTCTTCGGGACCTGCTGGTCTTAAGCTGGGTTTAGACAGGGCAAGTCAATTGATCAAGTGAGTTGAATTCAACTGACTTGAACGCGAATTGAACGTGTAAACTATGCCATTCAACTGACTTGATCAACTCACTTGAATTGAAAAAAGTTGAACCAGGCTCAACTTTTCAAGCCCATTGAATTTAACTGAGTTGATCATTTGACTTGCCTAGTCTAAACCCAGGGGATAGGGGAAACTTCTACCTACACGATGATGGTGTTGGTTTGTGTGGGCGGCCTTCGATCTGTGAGGAATGAGCTTTGGAACGGTTTGTTTACAAATGCTGATGGGCCCTTTTTTATTGTTGATCCAGAGTTGTTGGTTCTTTGGTTTGATTATCTGCCAATCGAAGACAGCTTATGCAAACATTGAGAAATTATACTCTGTTCACATAGATGTTTGATTTGTTGCGTGGCAAAATAATCGTAATAAATGTTCAACAAGTGCGTACTTGTAGGAATTAAATATTTATTATATTATTTTTTGAATTAGGCAAGCTAATCATGAAAAATCCACGTTTCATTAATGATTATTCACACAAGATTTTTTAGCGCATACGTGTCGTCAATGCACATATAAACATAGCATAACAACTGTAGGCTACAATCAATACGAAACTATCGATTTTAAATTGGCTCACTACTTGACTAGTCTATTGGTCCCAAGCAAACGATTAACGTATCCCATTCTAGTCAAAATTCTAGTACTACACAATGTTTGTTTTGATTCGCTATGAAAGTTTGACAGATAAAATGAGGGGTTAGTGGATTTTCCTATGTTTCGAGGGGTGAATCGATTAGCTTGGGACCGAAGAGAGTACCAGAGCTTAGCCAAAAAGTTGAGCACGTTTCTTCGGGACCTTCTAGTCTTAGAGTTACCTCTATGATATTATCATAGAGATAACTCTAAGACTAGAAGGTCCCGAAGAAACGTGCTCAACTTTTTGGCTCATCTCTGGTACTCTCTTCGGTCCCAAGCTAATCGATGCACCCCTCGAAACAAAGGAAAATCCACAAGCCCCTCATTTTATCTGTCAAACTTTCATAGCAAATTAGCAAATCAAAACAAACATAGTGAAGTACTAGAATTTCGACTAGAATGGGGGTACGTTAATCGTTTGCTTGGGACCAATAGGCTAGTCAAGTAGTGAGCCAATTTAAAATCGTTAGTTTCGTATTGATTGTTGATTTTATCGAGCGGGTGACACATCTAAATCTCAATTCTAGATGCTCAAAAAATCTCACACTAACGAATAAATCTTCGAAAAATCTTCTTTCATTTCTCGCATCTACTTGCATCGCGCATCATCTTTTTGCAGGAAATCTTCAAAATCGTAATTAATCTTTTTTCTATCTACTCATGCGCGTACGCTGAGTAGATAGAAAAAAGATTAATTACGATTTTACCACAGCAGAACACAATATTTCTTGCATCGTAGATAGAGTCGTCCCGCTCGGATATTATGGATTCCTAGTTGGACCTTTAAGAGAAATGCTGTGAACTCTACGCCCTCTTAATAGAGTGGATTTTTTTAAAGTAGAGGGGCAAGTCATAGGAGACGTTTGGTAAACGTAATATTAACAATATTTCAAAGTTTTATTTTTCACGTAGACGGGCAGGCACTCGGCTCATTGATTCACCCGCCAATCTTCATTGCTTTGAGTGTTGGTGCAGAATTCATTTCAGCGTGCATGACTATAGCAGCCATTTTTAATCAACATTTTTCCATTCCCCTTCATTTCAGGTAAAACCGCCTGGGTCGGATCGCTCTTCATGGCTATGCCACTTCTATCCGGACCGGTGGCATCGTTTCTTACGGATCGGTACGGATGTCGAAATGTGACGATAGTCGGTTCCATCCTGGCCTCCGCCGGTTTTGCCTTATCTGCCTATGCGGAAACGATTGAAATGCTGTATCTAACGTTCGGAGTGCTGGCCGGATTTGGGCTGAGCTTGTGCTACGTGGCAGCCGTTGTGATTGTGGCGTACTACTTCGACAAGAAACGATCATTCGCGATTGGGCTGTCCGTGTGCGGCAGTGGTATTGGGACGTGCATCTTCGCAAAGGTGACGGAAATTCTTTTGGACGAGTACGGCTGGCGTGGGACGACGCTGATACTGGCCGGTATTTTCCTCAATATGTGTCTTTGTGGCCTTCTGATGCGTGATCTCGAGTGGACAACGCACAAATCGAAACTCAAACGTAAACAGAAGGAAGCCGATTCGTACTCGGTGAGCAACAGTACGAATACTGCCGGAACGACAAGCAATCTGAACGCGGTCGATGTCACTTCCGGTGGTGGTGGAGTTGGCGGTTTAGGAGGAGTACCATCCGAGGCTGCACAGCAGGGTGCTAAGGGAGAACAATCGAACAATCCGGATGATCCTCGGTTGTTCAGTTCGTTGATCACTCTTCCTACCTTCATCAAAAACGAGGAGAAAGTACCCTACGAAGTATTAGAATTACTCCAAAAGCATCAAAATGTGCATGAGCATGTTTTGCAAAATTATCCTAATCTGCTACATTCTCGTAGCTTCAGTGAACCATTAGCACCTAAGAGTAATGAACTATCCACGGAGAAGGCTGGCAATCCCGGTCAAGTAATTTCCTCGGATTCCCATAAAGGCCACCAATTGGATCATCTACCCCCCGGCGATGACGTCGAGCATCAACACCCATTCCTACGACGAGCCCACAGCCATCGACCGACGGGTGTTCGCACACCGACGACCGCCTATCTCAAGGATCTCCGAATGCACCGACATTCCCTCACCTACCGAGGGGCGATGTTGAACATTCAACGCTATCGACTGCGGGCTTCGTCCTGTCCGGACATCTACCGGAACTCGATGACAACGATCGCCAAGGAAAAGACCGCCTGGTATCAGGGAATAGATGAGTTCAAGACACTGCTGGTCAGTATTTTGGACCTGTCCTATTTCCGTGATGTCCGTTTCCTGCTGTTTGCGATCTCGAACTTTTTACTGTACACGTGGTACGATGTGCCGTACGTATACCTGACGGACAATGCAACCGCGATGGGCTTCACAAAGTCCCAGTCTTCGATGTTGATTTCCATCATCGGCATTGTGAACATGGTCGGAGAGGTAAGTTTGATTTGGTGGCCGATGTAGGACGGGAGCAGGAAATTCGCACAAACTGCTTATTAATTTGCTGCTGAATTTCGAGAGATCTCGTGTAGCTTTTGCGCGGTTGTCGAATGATTTGGAGTAAAAATATGCGAGATCTCCACTGAAGTTTGTGCTAGTTTTCTCAAACTTGTCTAATAGATGTTGTAGTGTGTTGACATGTGAGAGGATGGAGCATCTAAGGTTTGGTAAACTTTCAAACTAGTTCTTTATGCATATTTTAATTTAAGGAATTGATTGAAGAATAGTTAGAACAAATACTAGATCAATTATCACTAACATTCTCAAGATCTTGTTTATCATTCGTTTGTAAACAATAACTCATATGCATATTTGGATTGATTTTCATGACTGCATGGTTGCCAACTGCTTAAATTTCAAATGTAAATCGATTAAAATCTCCAATAGAATCATTTGGAAATATTCGCTTCTGCTAAAATGCCATACTAACATAGAATATCATCGCCAAACTGTAGGTACAGCATAATCCATCCATTAGCATTTTAAAGTTCCAAGTAATAGCTCAACTCACTTGTTTAGCATTTTAATAATTCAGCACACTTTCGTCATTTCTACTTCCTACCTTCAAACTGATTTTATAATTCCTTCCTCCTTCAACATCATCCTACAGATCGTGCTCGGTTGGATGGGCGATCGGAAGTCCGTCAATGCCAACTTGACGTACGCAGTTTGTATGGGGCTTTGCGGCTTGGTGACCGCTTTGGTGCCACTATTTACGGACTATACGGTAAGTTGAGCTTCGCATCGTCTCAATCTCTTCTCGTCACTCAAAACTTTTCAATTATTTCCAGGAGCTATCATTTTTGGCCGGAGCGTTTGGGCTGTTCATTGCCGCAAACTACTCACTGACAAGTATTATCCTCGTTGAACTGATCACATTGGAACGTTTTACCAATGCCTATGGGCTGCTGCTACTGGTGCAGGGTGTGGCCAATTTAATCGGACCACCACTAGCCGGTGAGTGGATCCATCTGCTGTTTACTGGATGGTTGGGCGGTCGTTTTTGAGTTTTGCTCATTTGTTTAATTTTAGGTTGGATATCGGACATTATGGAGAGCTACAATTTGGCATTCTACCTGGCTGGTTTGTTTATTGCGTTGTCGGGATTATTACTGCTGGTGTTGCCCGCCATTGAAGAGTACAAGAAGTACCACCAAAGACGAGTTTCGAAGGAGAAAGGTACATCGTTCGATGGCTACGGAATGAATAATTTGACGGTAAGTAACTTATTTATGTTGAAATTAGGTACATGGTCATATCTCAAAGAAGCCCTATTGACTCTTAAACCGCTGACGTCTGCATATTGGAAATTGGTAAACAAATAATAACTCTTAAGCATCTATACTTTTCAAATTGCAAATACACTTTTGTGAAACATGTTACATATTTTGTCATCCAACCATTTGTGCCCGAACCAGATTGGTGCCTTTGGAATGGTGGAGTCCCAGGAGAAGTGGCTAGTCTTTAATTTCATCAACAACCCCAGCGGCATATCGACATTTTCTGTATTTATTAGACAATCTTTACAATCTTTGCTAAGCACCATGCCGTATTATCAACAATCAATACGAAACTAACGATTTTAAATTGGCTCACCACTTTAAAGGGTGATACGGTCAAAATTTGGTCAAGGGAAAACGCGTGTAAATCGGTGAAATCGTTTATTTAAAAAATCAAATTAAATTTCTTTTTCAAGTTCAATTAGTATAAAATTCAGGAAAAATATTCAGTTAGGCTTCCGCTTTTCCAAATCCGAATTGCCGGGCCTTACGCTTGACCCCTGCCATCAGATTTTGTACAGCCACCTTGTCCACCTTCTTCGCCGCAGAAAGCCAGTTTGCCTTGAACTGCTGCTCGCCCTTAGCAGTTTTTTTGATCTTCTTTAGGTTCCGCTTGACAATAGCCCAGTATTTCTCAATTGGGCGGAGCTCTGGCGTGTTGGGAGGGTTCTTGTCCTTGGGAACCACCTGCACGTTGTTGGCGGCGTACCACTCCATGGCCTTTTTACCGTAATGGCAAGATGCCAAATCCGGCCAAAACAGTACGGAACAACCGTGTTTCTTCAGGAAAGGCAGCAGACGTTTATTCAAACACTCTTTCACGTAAATTTCTTGGTTGACAGTCCCGGAAGCTATGAAAATGCTGCTTTTCAAGCCACAGGTACAGATGGCTTGCCAAACCAGATATTTCTTTGCGAACTTTGACAGTTTCATGTGCTTGAAAACATCTGCTACCTTTCCCCTTTCTTTTGCCGTATAAAACTCCTGTCCCGGAAGCTGCTTGTAGTCGGCTTTGACGTAGGTTTCGTCGTCCATTACCACGCAGTCAAACTTCGTCAGCATCGTCGTGTACAGCCTCCGGGATCGCGCTTTGGCCGTCGTATTTTGTTTATCATCGCGATTTGGAGTCACTACCTTCTTGTAAGTCGATAGTCCGGCTCGTTTTTTGGCTCGATGCACGGTTGTAGACGATACACCCAGCTTATTTGCGGCATCTCGGAGAGAGAGGTTAGGGTTTCGCTTGAAACTACCGGCAACTCTCTTTGTCGTCTCAGCGGCTTCCGGTTTTCGATTTCCCCCCGATCCAGACTTCCTGGCTGTCGACAAACGTTCCCCAAACACTTTAATTACATTTGTAACGGTTGATTTGGCAACTTTTAGCGATTTTGCCAACTTTGCGTGCGAGTAGCTCGGATTTTCGCGATGCGCGAGCAACATTTTGATACGCTGCTCTTCTTGCTTGGACGGCATTTTGACAACTGAAGAGTGAATTCCAAAATCAAAATAGGAGCAACATTCTACACACACACACCTTCAAAATGAGGGGTGTTCAGGTTTTTTAAATGCAAAATTGAAAGAAATACGTCAAGTTGATATTGACCAAATTTTGACCGTATAACCCTTTAGTAGCCTATTGGTCCCAAGCAAACGATTAACGTACCCTATTCTAGTTGAAATTCTATTACTACACTATGTTTGTTTTGATTCGCTATGAAAGTTTGACAGATAACATCAGGGGTGTGTGGATTCATGCAGAACATGCAGGGGTGAGTGAAATAGCTTGGGACTGCTTGGGACCATTGCAATTGTTCTGGTACTGAGTGAGCCAAAAATAATAATGATTTTCTTCGGGACCCAGTGGTCTTAGAGTTACCTCTATGGTATTATCCTCAATTTTAATCTCGGATTTAACTATAATACAACGATTTCGACGTACTAGAGAAAATCTTGGATTTTCAAAAGAACTCAGCCAAAACAAAACTTGCTCTCACCGCTCTCACATAAACATGTGCACGAGCATCAAAATTCGATCCGCTGATCGCTGCAGCTGTTCTGATTACAGCTACCAGAAAAAAATCGGAAAAGTTCTACGCATCTTACTCGGGAGGAAGTAGCAAATGATTGAAAGTGTCGGAATTCCTCGTCAGAAAATATTAAGAATGTGTCATCAGAAAATATTGGATTTCTCTCATCAGAAGTTCTCAGAACCTCTTGTCGGCAGTTCTTTGAACTTATCATCAGAAGTTCTCAGAACCTCTTGTCGGCAGTTCTTTGAACTTCTCAACGGCAGTACTCTGAACTTTTCGTTGGAACTTCAGGGAATTTTAATGAAGTTCTGTGAAATTTTCATCTAAAGTTCTTTTTGCTTCTAATCGGAAGTTCTGTGAACCTACCGTCGGATCTTCAAGGAATTAATATTTAGTTCTGTGAACTTCTCAGAACTTCTCTTAAGATCTCTGAACTTGTCGTCGGAAGTACTCTGAGTCTTTCTGAGCGGAAGTTCTCTAAACTTTTCGATGGAACTTCCAAGAAGTTCAGTGACCTTTTTGCCGGAAGTTCTCTGTAAGAGTACTTAAGAGAGGCGCCACCTGACAAATGCAAGCCTGTTTGATTAATAAGCTGGAGATGTTCAATAAATGACTTGAAGATCCTGGTATAAATGCTCTTTCTAGGTCATTTATAGAGCATCTCCCTCTTATTGATGGAACAGTCCTGTATTATCAGGTGACGCCTCTCCTGCGTACTATTCAACGAGACCCAGCGATGTGCCGACCAGTCCAAAATACTCGCCCTCAAGTCCACGGAAAACACTAACAAGTCTGATATCACATTCTCGATTCCTCGGATTATGCTGACAATGAGAAGCGTGATCCTTGATAATCAATCCGCAGTACAGCATCTCCGAAATAAGTTAAGTTTTCTTTATTTGGGAGGCTTTCAGCCTGGTTCGCCTCCGACATCTCCGAAATAATCTTCTTACACGATGTTACAATCAGCTGCCTCAGAAATTTATTGTTGCATCCTGCACCCAGCAACCTATAACACATCGGCATGATCAAAGTTAATCACTCCTGCTAATCACCCGAGAGTTTTATGTCTCCTGGATAGCATAATCGTTCTGGAATGTATTGGATATGTTTTTCTAATTGAACTGGCTTTTTTGAACAAGACAGAAGTTGCTATTCGAAGATGGCTTCCAACGTCGACGGCAGATCCTAAAGCAGCAATGAGCAGAATACTTAGACCAACAATTGAAATAGGTGGAACAACCAAACGTTACAAATGGCTTTAAACGCACATTTCTCAAACACACACATGAAATCTAACACCAGCATCGGAAAGAGCAAACTTCCTTTATCGAATGGCATTGTTAGTTTGCGTAGGAGTGTTTTAATTCTCGAGAAATTAGCGTTACGTTTGATTGTTTCGCCTATTTCAATTATAGAGAATTTCACGTCCGGATGTATTGGTGCGATATGTGAAAGCGTGTTAGTGAATATCCGAGTAAAATACATAACAAATCGATGTCAAACTCATTTTGACAGATCTACTTTCATACATTTGCTAGGTTAGCCAGAGGAAAATAATTAACAACTTTACACGGCGTTGCTCCCGCTAGTGTGCGTGCGTTAAACGTCACTAATCTCTATTGGTCTAGCACCTAGTACTCTTCTTCCGCCTACATGACTGAGGCTGTGAACCATTTACCGAGTTAAATTTATCTCGTGGATAAAAGTGACATTTCGAAAGTTATTTCTTATGTTCGAAAATCCCTTTGTTACCGATCGATCGGTTTTCGAGCAGAACTCAACCACCGTTGTCAAAATTCAACTTTTTGTCGATCAGAAATAACCACGCTCAGATAGCATGGTTAATCGATAACTTTCCATATGTCAAATTTAAACCAAAATTTTAAAAAATCCACCAAATGAATCAGAGCCTAAAAGTTGATCTCTCAAATTAGATTGACAGTTCGCTCTTAGCTGTCGACACAAGAAACTCATTGTTGCGGTGTTTGCTCATTGTTTGAAGTTCGTTCGCTTTTGTCGTTAGCATGTCCGTTGAAATAAAACTGACGATTAGGTTCAGCTTACCACATGGCTTGGCGAGACCATCTATGCAAATTTCGTGAAAGTGCTGGACGCGGATTCCGTGCAGATAATTACTACATGTCGCACTGAGGGGCATCGAATGAACTCCTGCCTCAAGCAGAAGGATCGGAAGCAGAAGTTTTCCTCGGAAAAGCGTTGGAAAATTTATTCATTCTATGAGTGTCCTACGTTTTTGTGAATTTGAGTTACCAATAGCTCAAATAGGGTAATTCTTACTCAATTTTGAGTCGTTCTCATTGGCCGTGCATGTGCAATTTGTTTAGAAATGTATGTCAAGTGCTTGTTAAAATGGCAGGAGATGTAGTCGTAAGGCAAAGTGTTACAACCCTTTTTTTAAGTATAAGAAAAGTACGTTATGTAGGGGTGGATAGTATTAAAAAGCAATCTGTTGCATTACGTAATATTTTAATGGGCCGTAGGAATTCTTTCATTTATTATTAATATTGTGTGTGGCAGGATAATTTCTCAAAAAGGGATTATACCATCTGTTTTCTGTTTATGGCCGTACGACTGCGCCCATTGATTTAACACACGGCGGCTCTTTATCCAGGATTCGCTCCTCAAGCCGCTGCCATAAAATACTATCAAAGTTACACACCTGTGTATAATCCTTATGGGCGGGGTTGCATCGCGCTTCGACCGTAACCAAATGAGAATTTAACATAAGCGCAACAATATGTTGATAGCGATAAATGATATTATTGTATTACTCTGATACATATTTGAATGTACACGCATTGTATTTTTTTTTTCATTTCGTTTATTTGAAAGGCTCAAATGTTATAAAAATAACTTAGCGGAGCCGAGTACATGGAATACCAATTT